TGTGTGTGTGTGTGTGTGTGTGTATCTCAAAGACGACTTCCTCCGTTGTGAGGATTAAATAGGCCTCACAGGGCAGAGCACGGTTCCTGGCACACAGCTAGCATTTGATCAATGAGGTATGTCTCCCTAACATCCCCCCTTCTCCTTGGTAGAGGGACTAGAGAGGTGGGGAAACAGTGGCAAGAAAATTTAAGAAAAAAGTGGGCACCGATGACCCCAACTCTGACTCAAGATTGCCTCTCAGGTCTAGCCGGCATGGCTTAGTGGTTGAGTGTCGACCTATGAACCAGGAGGTCGGGGTTTGATTCCCAGTTAAGGGCACATGCCCAGATTGTGGGCTGGATCCCCAGTAGAGGGCGTGCAGGAGACAGCCGATCCATGATTCTCTCTCATCACTGATGTTTCTCTCTCTCTCCCCCCCTTCTAAAATCAATAATGTATATATTATTGCCTCTCGGAATCTGGAATGTTCTCCAACCCTAAATACCCAGTGAGAGAAGGGACTCATTTCCTGGCCTGGGGCTGCCACAAAACCAAGCCTCCAGTCCCCGCAGGAGTGTGGCACGACTACAATCACAGCAGCTCTCACGCTATTTCAAAATCATTTCCATCTCCTACGGGGCTGGCGACTCTAGAAGAGCGGGTTGCAGAGTTTCGGCATTTTTCACACCTGAATATCGTATCATCTGACAGGAACGTAACTCAAAACAGACCACCACCACCCCCAACAAAACTGAATTTTCAGGAGGCAAATGAGCACTTTCCCAATAAAACCCCAGCAGAAACATGTTCCCGACCCTATGCCCACCTGAAACCAACCCCTAAAGGCACTAAGGATGGGAGTCAAGGGAAGGAAGGAGGATTAACGATAGAGAAAAAAGAATCTCAAAATCCTGGAGATAACAGCAGTAATCATGCGGCCCTATTGCATTCTTCTATCTTGTGTTGAGAAAGATGCAATAATTGAGGCACAGCGGATCCGCATCCAGTTAAAACTGCAGCAGTGACAGCTCAGGGGCAGAGGGAAAGAAGTGGGGCTGTCAGAGCTAGACGCAGCTTTGGGGCAGGCATCTGTGAGTCAGGATGCAAGGACTGAGCATTCTGGGGTGGGGTGGGGGGAGGTCCCTTTAAGTAAGGGCAGCAGAGCAGGGCACTACAGCAGCTGCTGTGAGAACCACCCACTGCCCTGCCAGGCTTGTGTTTCCAGTCCTGGTCGCTCCTCTGCTGGCTCAAAGCTGGCCTGGGATCTGAGGGACTGGCTGCATCTCCTGGGCCTGCTCTTATATGGACAAAAACCCAACCCCTAGGGCACAGGGAGGGGGAAGGTCATTGGTAGCTACTGAGGAATAAAAAGAACCAGGATGCTTTGCTCCCTGGGGATCTTGCTTCCGCAATCACACCCAGGACTGGCCCCTCCCACATCTGCATAGTCACCAGCGCGACCTGGAGGCCATCATGACTCGGTTGGGGTCATGATTTCGGTTGGGGTCATGATTTCGTTTTCTTGGACTCTGCATTCCAAGTGGGAATCTGACGAGGATGGCTTCCCAGCTAAGGTGTCTCTAGGAATCTGCCTGCCACTCTGGCTCAAGAGATTTCCCGGAACCCAAAGACTCTCAAGGGCCCCACTGAGAAAAATGCTTTCTGCCCCAGCTGAGCGGTCAAGGTGGTTGATCCCGCTGTCCACTCACCAATCAGCATTGATTCTCTCTGGTATTCCTGAGTGAGGTAGGACCTCTGGGTCACACAGTACACGTATCTCTCCAAGACATACCAGCACATCTCATAGTAGAAGGGGTAACGGAATTTGGGCTGCACCTGAAAACCAAGACCCAAAGGTGGAGGTCAGTTTCTGGAGAGCGAAGGGAAAAGGAGGGAGAGAATTGAGGGGGTGAGGGCTCCTGGGGGTGGGAGTTATTTTCATCATCTTAGCAAGAGCACAAATGGTGTGAGGAAAAAATGGGGAGGGGCTGCAGGGCAAGGGGGAGGCGCTGGGTGGAGGAAGAAGACCAGTAGCATGCACGAATGAGAGGGGAGGAAAAGGCCTAGGCGAGAGCCTTTCAAGGTTCCTTGAGCTGCGCGCCACCGGATGGGGTCGGCTTTGTGCTTCGAGAAACAGCACTGTCCCGTGGCCTGCTGGGGAGGGTGCAGGCACCCACGAATGCGAGCCACTGCCTGATTCCAGCTACAACAGAAACCGGCTCCTGTCGTTCTTAAAAATCCTTGCACAGATTCTGCTATCCCACCCTCCCCCGAAAAACAGAAATCAATCCCCGAACCTTACCCAAGTCCACGTGCAGACAGGCTATCTATCAAGCATCTCCTGCACTCTGAGGGAAAGGCCACACCAGGCGGACCAATGAGGATGGAGGGGTGTGGCCTCTCCACCCCTAGGGGCGGGGCCTAAGAGGGGTCCACCTCCAGTTCCTTCTCCACCACCACCTGGCATTGCCCAGCCTGCATTCCCAGGCGACTCCCTTGGACACAAGTTCCTGGGGGTAACTCTAACACCAAGGGACACACCCCAGGTCTGGAGCAGGAGTTCAGACAAGAGATCCCTTCTTGGCTGTTTCTTATAGGGGACGAAGGATAGGTGCCGACAGCTTTGTGCATCAGAACTATGAAAAGGCCTGGAACGCAGGGGAGTGCCGATGGGTGGCAGGTAAGCACGCAGGGTCTACATGGGTGAGATGGCAGCGAAAGATGGGAAGCAAGCAGCACCACTGACGGCCCTGGCACAGATGAACCTTCCGGAAACTGCATCCTGAGCGGGCAAGGGAGGACTGACGGAGTGGGAGGGTGGTCCCTCTCCCATCTCTGGCTGCTCTTCCCCCCCGAAGGCTGTATATAGACACTGCACGTCCACACTCACTCCTGCTTGCCTGCCCTCTCACCAAGGGTGCGTCTGCCTCAAGGGACCTGTGCAGGGGCCGGGAACCCCTCTCCACCTCTTCTACTCAGGGAGCCGAGCCGGATGTTAATACACTCTCCCAATTTTCTCTGCTGACAATCAACAGGCAACATCCTACATGTGAGACGAAAACAAAGACAAGCAGGCCCAGGTCCACCATGTGCCCTTAAATCCTATTTTCCTGCCTCTCTCACCAGGCCCACTGGAAAGGGTCTCAACCTCACCCTTCTTGAGAGTCCCGGTTCTCAGTTCCCCATCCAGGCCCTGCTGATTCAGTTTCCAGACGCAAGGCCCTTTTCCCATATTTGGGGCCTCGCCTCACCCATCTGTGTATTGGGTCCATTCGACCTTCCTGCCTCTGGTGGATGGTATGCTTTGGAATGAGATTCTGGCTGCCGCATGCTTTTGAGCTCCTGTGGGTGGGGTAGGGGATGCATGGCATTGGGAACATCATCTAGCGGTTTCCTTGGCTCCAGCGACTTTCCCCAGGGGCCAGTTTTCTTGCTGGAATAGTATGCGACTAATGACCTTTTTTCAGTCACCAGATCAGTTTCCTCTGGATTTTAAAAAGGAGACTGGCCCTTCCACGTGAGGCAGACCCTGACCTCCTGGGAAGAAGGGTTTGGGCGTCTCAGCCCCACCCCTACTCCAGAACAAAGGCCAACCGATTGGGAAACAAATCGCCAATACCTGGAGCGGAGGACACACAGGCCCTCCTCTTCTCAGACCCTCACTCCCATCTCCTGATTTTAGACTCCATCGGTAAACCTCCCAAGTTGCTTCTGACTTTTCAAATTTGGGGAGATCATCGAGCCATTCTGCATTGATGGGCACCATGGCACCCGAGAATCTTTGTAGATTAGAGGGAAGGGAACTTGTTGGCTGTATTTCAGCAGAGAAAGGTAAGTCTCCCCACACTGTTGCTGAGCCCAAGAGAAACCAGCTGGGTGAAAACAAATGCTGATGAAGGAATTAAAATTCTTTTCATTTTCTTTTTTCTTTTTCTTTTTCTTTTTCTTTTTCCAAGAGAGCACCGCAGGAAACAAAATTGGCAAAGAATTGACTTACAAACGGGTTGTCGCCTTCCACCCTTCGCCTTCAAAAGGTTTCAGCCACATGCCTGGGAACATTAAACACACGATTGCTCAACATTAATTGTTGACAAAAATCGGAGCCTCATCAAATTGAGTTGTTCACCAAAAGGCAAGGCGGTTGGTGGTTCAGGGAACATCGCGTGCTCCCTACCTGCGGGGTCATCCAGGTGTCAGCGGGCCTCCAGGGGCCAGTCTGAGGTCCCAAAGGCCCACTGGAGTGGCACCTGGCCTGAGCCCTTCCTCTTACAGCAGAGTGACCGCAGGAGGTCAGGACCACAGGTATTTCGGAGCATTGAGAACTCCCAGGCCTCAGGATTTGAAAAGCTAAAATATGAGGGTGGGTGGAAGTATCTTAAAAATTTTTGTTTTTCTCCTGGAAAAAAAAAAAAAAGCAATGGGGGGAAAAAAAATCCAATGATAGGAGAAAGGTGAGAGGAAGGGTAAATTATTTGCAATTTCCAAATAGATTCACTGACTGAGAGGAAATGGGGCATGCGGGCATTACCTTTCCTGAGAAGGCTGCTTTCACTAGAACCATTAGGGAAAAGGAAAAAGAAAAAAAGGTAAATAAAGGAGAGATGGCAGTTTAATGATCATTGGGACCATCCCTACTTGGAGCTAAAAATACGTAGTGACCGTTGTTGAGATGTTATCTTCAAATAACAAGCATGCAACTCTCCCATTCTTTGCTGTCGTCCTTCCACCCCTCTGCATATTTTTAGAATGAGAGGGGAAAGATTTAATCTCCATAGGGGACAGGGGGGCAGGAAATGGAAACCCACCAGTCCCAGAACACCTGTTTGTGCTCGTCTTCGGGGCAGCAGGTAAAGTCACCTATCACCCGGCGCAGAAAAATTTAAACTGTGGGAGCAAGACATGGCTTCCCAGACCTAGGAGAATCATGAGGTTCCCCTGGTCTGGATGGGGGGAGGGGGGCGGGGTCCCCCACCTTGGGCCACAGAAGGCAAATTCTTTTTCTAAGACAAACTCACACCATGAGGCTCAGAGACGGACCATGTCCTCTGTCCCGCCCCCAGTATTTGGCTTCCAAGCAAAGCCATGTTTTAGGACTCCTGGAAAACGGTTTTTAAACGGCCACATCCTTCTTCAGCAGCTCGCAGTGACGGAAAGAATTAAGCTGTAGCGAGCTGACAAGGAGCCGTGGCACATTTTCTGGCATCCAGTGCTCTCTCCCCAGCAGCCTTTGTCTCCCTTAGCTCCTAAGACATGAACAATTGGACCTCGTCGACAAGCCCTCACCGAGGACCAGAAATCAAAAAGCAGGCTGAACAGCTTGCCCACCAGCCCCACTGCCCATCAACCTGCTCGGGGGAAGCCAGATGAGTGTCCGCTCACATGACAGGGACAGTGGGCCTTGGGGGAGGGGACCCTGCCACGCTCATCTGGATGTGGGTGTGACATTCCACGGGCACGCAGTGTTCAGCTCCAATACCTTCCCCCCACCCCCAACCTCCTGCTGAGTGGGGTGGGGATCTGGGCTCCTCACGGGATGACGAGGCCCAAATCCACTGGCTGAAGCTTTTAGAAATCTGAGCCTGGAAACTCATGAGCCCGACTTCTCGTTCTAGATTTTTCCCTTCCTATCCCACACTTCCTAGTCTGCTCACAAACAAGCTGGCCCATTCCTCGGGACCAAAGAACAGTCGGCCAGAGCCCCAGACAGCACGTGGTCCAGATTCTGAGATGACCACTCGCATCCAAATGGAGCCCTTACCACAGAATGACAACCTCCAGCCCAGCGCTGGGCTGGCCACCCCCAGACCAGGAAAGGGATGTTGGGCGGGCAGCAGAGAAGAAAGGCACGAACGTCCACAAGATGAGATCCAGTCTGTGCAGATCTGGGCCTCCCCGGCAGCAAACCTACTGTCTGAAGATGCGTCCTCTCTTTTTTTGTGCACCTGGCCGCTACGGTGTCTAAAGTGACCCCTGAGAAACCTCTGCATGGGGTCCCTCAATGTCAGGGCTGCTAAAAAGGTCAGATGCACATATAGTGGCTAAAACTTCCACCGATCTTTGTGATTCCATGCAGATCAAGGCCAGAAAGCAAGACCGAGAAAGAAGTGGATCCTGGGCCCAGAACTCCTGCCTCTATAACATTTTTCTTTAGGTTCCAAGCATAGCAACCCATCTCTGGGGCAAAAAAAGTCATCTCTGTGGCAAGGCCGGGAAGATATGGTATGTATGGTCCGTCCATCCCGTGGAGTATTACTCAACCATGACAAGGAATAAAGCACTGACACAACAGAGATGAAGCTTAACGTCATCACCCTGAGTGAGAGAAGCCAGATGCAAAAGGCCTCCTCATTATGACTCCATTGATACGAAACGTCCAGAACAGGCGAATCCACAGAGACAGAAAGCAGATTAGCGACTGCCAGAGGCTGGGGGAGAGGGAACAGGGAGTAACTGCTAATGGGGACTGGGCTTCTTTTGGGGGTGATGAATGTCCTGGAACTAGACAGCGGTGATGGCTGCACAACCTTATGAATGTGCGAAATGCCACTGAGCTGTGCACTTTAAATGGTGAAATTTAAATGTGAATTTTTTCGATAAAGAACAGAAATAGCTGCATAACTATAATTTTTAAAAAAAGAAGAAGAATGAGCCCTTTTTTGCCCGAGTTTCCCACCCTCGGACCTGTCTCAAATGCTTGGGGACGCTTGGCCAAGTTCCAGCATAGGAAAGAGGGCGGCAAGTTCCAAGTAGGGGTAACTTGGTACCTGCTTTTCTGGGGATACTCATGGAGTGGAGCAGAGAGCACACGCCAGGTCCTAATCCGTATCTGAGAAACCATCACCATCACTATCCAGGGGAGCTAGGGACACCCCCAGTGGATACTGAGACAGATCTCAGAGGCAGCATCTGGGGGAATCACAGACACTGGCTTCCTCAGGCTCCACATCACATTTGGGGTTCCCAGGGGACTGACCTTCTTTCCAAGGTCAAGCCCTCCTGCAAACCACAGCAACAACCACCACGAAATTCCCCCTACTCCCTCCAATCCCTTCTCCACGTGAGGAGGAGGCGGCAGGCTGCCTGACATGTCACGGTGCTTTCTCAAGAGACACTTCCTCTTAGGCAAGGGGGTTTTGGCTGCCACCAGCTTGGAGGTGAAGAGAAACTCCCAGGGCTCCGGGAGAGGCTCCTGTGGGCACCCACCACCCCAAAGAACCAGGACCAAGGCCCGGATTGAGGCAGGGAGCAGGAGGGAAGAGGCACGGCGGAGGCTTCAGAATGACTTGTCCACACAACACCCTCATCGATGTCAGCAGAGCTCAGGGGCTGGGCGCGCCCACCCAGAGAGAAGGAAGCCGCCTTACCCGTGTTCTGTCCTCGATCTCATAAATCCGCAGCTGCATGGGCACGTTAAAGCTGTGCAGGATGTTTCCACCGAATACCAGAGAGTCTACAGGGGTGTAGACTGCATGGATCCAGCCTGGGGGTGAGGGGAAGAGAAGGTCAGTCACCAGCCCCACCTATGCCAGTGTGTAGAAGGGCGCAGGAGGCCCAGGTGAGCACCCAGGGTAAAGATGAAGGATGCTCAGGCCTGCCTGATGCAGAAAGCCAGACTCAGGCCTGCAGCCAGCTGGACCGCTGCAGACAGTGATGCTGGCTAGCTCAGGTAGGGTGGTAGGCAGCTGTAGACCAGCCCCCACCTGTTGAGGACCTTGGTGACAAAGGCTTCCTTGTGCTGATTCGGACCTGGCTGCAGCCAACAGAGACGTAGGCCCTCCCGTGCTGGCCAGGGAGCTGGAAACCCCTCACTCAGGCTGCTCAGATGTCCTTGAGCCTCTTCCTGGACATCCCAGGGATCGCCATTCTCAGGTGGGGCCACAACTAAGAAGTGAGATCTTGCCAGGGCTGCAGGACCCAGACACTTCTCCCTGCCCGATTCCACCTTCTGCCATCAAAACCCTCGAAGGCCCGTGAGCTGCTGACACGTCTCTCCCTGAGCTCCTAGCCCAAAGCCTGGCACAGTAAACATGAAAATGCTAACTGAGTGCTTCCCTGGGCCAGGCACAGTCTAAGGCAGTGATGGCGAACCTTTTGAGCTCGGTGTGTCAGCATTTTGAAAAACCCTAACTTAACTCTGGTACCATGTCACATATAGAAATTTTTTGTTAACCATAGTAAAACAAAGATTTATATTTTTGATATTTATTTTATATATTTAAATGCCATTTAACAAAGAAAAATCAACCAAAAAAATGAGTTCGCATGTCACCTCTGACACACATGTCATAGGTTCGCCATCACTGGTCTAAGGGCTTAACTCATTTAATTCTTGCAAAATCCCGAAAGAGTATATATTATATTCATCACCAATTTACAGATGAGGAGACTGAGGCAGAGAAAAGAAAAGTCACTTAGCAGGACTGGAACCCAGGGAGTCAGCCTCCACTCGGTCCATAAAGGCCAGAGACAAAGCAGGCCCCCAAATTCCGTCAGCGACTCTCGGACTGGCCAGATTTCAAGTGCTCGCCGCACTTCCGTGTGGCCGCTGGCTACCGTAAGGGACAGCTCAGGTCTGTGGGATAGGTAACATGCGATCCACTCCCATTTAGGATACTGACACAGAGGCTGAGAGAAGCTAAGTCACTTGCTGAATGAAGACACAGCCGGTAAGTGACAGCGCCTCCGTTTTTTAACCGCTCCGCTGCACTGTCACTGCATCAAAGGCTTAGAGCGGGCCTGCGGGTCCCGGGAGACAGGCCTGCAAAGGCAGAGGGAGAGGAACGCAGAGAAACAAGACACTCAGGCAGCGAGGACAGGCAGAGTCAGAGAGTCACGGTGAAAGACACAGGATGAGCAGAGGGGACCGGGGACAGGCAAGGGGCAAGCCAGGATCCCCAGCCAGGTGCGGCGGAAGCTGTTCCAGCCTCTTCGCTCCCCCTGAGCAAACACATGCCAGTCCCCGCTGCCCAGGCAAAGGTGCCCTGGGAGGAGAGTGATATAGGCCACTGATGGCAGCGGGACAGCGCTGGCAGTCATGAGGGGAGAGCAGGGAAAGACTGCCTGCCAAGAACACAGGAATGAAGGCTTTTATGTCACCGGCTTGTGCTGCTAGCTCCCTGCACCTCTGGCTCTGGGGAGGCAGAGAGAGCAGCTCTGTCTGCTGGTGTGCACTTGTCGAGCCACCTGGGTCTCTGTCCCCTCCCCCTGTACCAACCCCCTGTGTGCGGATGCCTTTAAAGTCTCAGTGTCCCCATCTGCTCAGCCTCTCCGCCTCAGCCGTGTGCCATCTGATTTTCTCATCAACATTTGTATGTTTCTACCAAGTGGAGCCACACTATTACCTTTGCTGCTGTTACCATCATCGACATTACTTAAGCAGTATTTCCTACCACTGGATCTAGGAGCACAGGGTTTCTGTGGATGCATGTGGTGGGGTGAAGCCTGAACAGGCACAAAGATTTCTGGTCCCCGTTCCTATGCGCCTGGTGTGCCCACCGACTGCCCTACAGAAAGGCCAGGTCCGGGGGCTTGAGTTAGAGGCTGTCCCCAGTGCCGACTTATCCTGTGACGCGGAGCACCTGCCTGCCCCTCTCTCGGCCACCACCTCCGTATGGGCAACTTGGTGAGCATGAACTCACTCCATGTGAGCAACTGCGGCCGATGTCCACGGGGGCCTTGTCTCCCCTGCAGGGCTCTGGAGAGCCCGGTGCCCATATGAATGGCTCTCAGCAGCCCCCACCTCTCCCTGCTCTCCTGGCAGGTGGCATCGTAGACACACCTGACTTACATCTGTTACTGTCACGTGTGAGCAAAGAGGGCAAAGAAGAGAGGTGCTGTTGCAAGTAGGGAAGCGGGGAACCTGTACACCCCGTCATTCTCCCACTAGAGCAGGTAAAGGCTTCTACCTGCTCTTTGTCCCTCCCCAAGCCAGGGCCTCAAAGGTGGGTCAGGCAGCCTCCCCTGGATTACAGTCACTGCCGAGTGCCTCCACACGTTGGCTTCATTACTGAAACGATTACCTCCAGAAGAATCAGTGAGGGTCAATAATATTGTTCCTGAGCCCCATCCGTACCCACCCTCTCTATGGCATCTCTTTGGCCGCACCCCAAGGAAGCAGGAGAGAGCAGGTGTCCCTGGCGGATGACTGGGCCGGCCCAGTCATCCGTCTCCTGCTCCCAGGCCAGAGTCACCGACAATATGAAGGCAATAACAGAGGCTATTCAGGCCACGCGACAAGGGACAGATCCAGCTCGTGGAAGGAAAGCAGGCGACCCACAAAAACCTACTGACACAGGTGTTCTCTGGGGCCTGAGGGAGCCCAGGAGGGTAGCAGGGACACATGGAGTCTCGCCTACAAGTTAGATGTTCAGAATTCAGAATCCGAAGGCTCCCGCCGACACACACATTTGCCTATCTTTGTGGCTGCTGCAGGGGTAAAACCCAAGGTCAGAGAACTCAGGGGCACCTCACAGACGCCCACACCTGCTTCTTTCCCCTGCATCGACCTGCCTCCATGCTGAGCCAGGTCTGTGTTTGCCAGGATGAAGCATGAAGGGCCTCAATTCTGTGGGACCTGGTAGCTGGCAGGCCATGGGTTGCATGGGGACTCGGGGGAGTGTTCAGTTGGACCGCCCACACAGGCGTTACAAAAATGGGGAAAATTTACAGGACAATCTCAATTGCTTCCTTCCCAAGATAAATGAGAAGATGGGCCCACCAGGCCCCATTCCCGCCTGACCCTACCTAGTTGGAGCTGAGCAGCAATTGCCCAGTTTCCACCGCCCTCTGCCTCACTTCCAGCCTGCTTCACTGCCTCCCTGGCACTGCCCTGTACCCATTTTACAAATGGATCATCAGAGGTCCAAGCCAACTGATGCTAATAAGCAGCTGCTGTTAGTTTCTCAGACTTACCTGAGGCTCAGAAACATCTGGAGCTACCATGAATTTTGGGTCTTGGGTAGTTCTTACTATAGAGCAAGAATGGGAAATACTTTCAGGCCAGCCCAAGTCACTGACCCCAGCATCCTTCTGAGATCCTCATACTAGGCTCCACCACCCTGGCTGCGACCTGCTAGGCATTCGCTCAGGACAGAGAGAATCTCACATCCTTCCCAGCACCTTCTGGATTGCCATGTGGACCCTTAAGAAAGTGCATTAGCCCTAACTGGTTTGGCTCAGTGGATAGAGCATCAGCCTGTGGACTCAAGGGTCCCAGATTCGATTCCGGTCAAGGGCATGTACCTTGGTTTCAGGCACATCCCCGATGGGGAGTGTGCAGGAGGCAGCTGATCAATGTTTCTCTCTCATCGAAAATATATTTAAAAAATAAATAAATAAATTAGAAAAAGAAAGTGCGTTAAATGAGCAAATAATTCTCCCAAAGTCATATAGCTGAGAAGGGGGACTACATCCCAAACCTGCTGACTTCCAGGCTAATAGGGAACCAGGTGGGCTGAAACGACACACACCCGTCCTGTCTGTCACTTATTAACTGTGTGACCTTGGGCTAGTTTGTTCACTTTTCTGGGCCTCAGGAACATTCTTTATTTAAAAAAAAAGGGGGAGGGGCTGTGGGTGAGATGTTTTTTCTTATCTGATTGCAGAGACGATAAAAATATAAAATATTTGTTGCTCAGCAATACCAGTTATTATTACTATTAACTGTAGTTCACCTGGGCAGGTGCAGCCAGAGGGGAAAGCCAAGTCCATGGATGGAGAAGGTGTAAATATTCATAAATTCAACACTATCCAATTTAAAGAGCTGTCCTTGATTCTGAAATTATGTACTTACAAAATTTTAATGTCAGAGTAGCCTTCCTTTCATGAAATACCAGGAAAAGTAGATTCCGGGTTCTTGTTTTTTGTTTTTTTTTTTAATATATTTTATTGATTTTTTACAGAGAGGAAGGGAGAGAGATAGAGAGTTAGAAACATCGATGAGAGAGAACATCGATCAGCTGCCTCCTGCACACCCCCTACTGGGGATGTGCCCGCAACCCAAGTACATGCCCCTGACCGGAATCGAACCTGGGACCTTTTAGTCCGCAAGCCGACGCTCTATCCACTGAGCCAAACCGGTTTCGGCTCTTGTTTTTTTTAACTAATGTCCACCTTTAGCAAAACTACAAGTTGGTAAACATATAATTAGATTTCAACTTTTTTAATTCCCCCTGTTGGTCCATGAAAGTCAACCCCTGGGAACTACATTTGCCCCGTCTTTGAGAACATGACAAATCCCAACTGTCCCTTCAGGAACAGGGAACTAACTACCTACCAGAACCTGTCCTCCCAATGTCACCTGGCTTTACCTCTCCATCCAGGAAACAATTCTTCAATTGGCTGACTGCATTATCATATACCTTCACTTCCCTGGGTAAAACAACCCCACTCCTGCTGCAGATTCATCTCATCTGGTGTGGTACCCAGACTGCTCTCTTTCCAGGTCAACTTACCCCCCAAAGTATAATCAAAAGGGACCCAAACTCCCACATGTGGCCTGACGCCCTCACTCTACGCAGTGGGATCGTCACCCCGCTCCATCCTGGGTAAAATTCTTCTATTAACGCAGCCTAAGAGCATACTCCCAGATTCCTAGGTCATCTGCCACATCCAGCAGGGACTCAGCCTAGAACTGGCCAAAAGCCCTCAGTCCATCTCCAAAATGCGTTAGGCAAAATAGGCCTTCGCTCACTCAGTCCTCACAACCACCTTGGAAAATCTTATTCCCATTACACAGATAAGAACACTGAGCCACACAGAGGTTAAGTCACTTCTGTGAAGTCACAGCCTGTAAACAGCAGAGCCGGAATTTGAACTAAGGCCATGCAGTCTGGTTCCGGGGCTGATGCTCTTAATTACTACCCTCTGCTGTAGCTGTGGAGTTAATTCTGGTTTTGGAGCGGGGAGTCTAAGGGTGAGAGCCGCCACTGATTACATCTCATCTTGTTCTTTTGGAAGGAAGCTGCCACTCTGGGTCCTTCCCCAATGACCCAGGTCTGCCCTTCCCAAGGCCTGCCTCAGAGTCCTCAGGGTCACACCTGACCCCCCCCCCTCCCCCACAGGCCATGCTATCACTCAGAAACCTCCCTGCAGGAAGTCCTGAGGGAGGGCCCTGGGCGTTCCCCCAGGAGAGAATTCTGGCCCACAGGCAGAGAGATACAGGGAAGATGTGAAAGGAAAATGGGGCTGTTTTTCCCTGCAGCCCGAAACCTCTCCTCTCAGAGACTGCCAATGGCCAGAAGGCCCAGAGAAACCTGGTCGCTTGGCCTAAAAACCCTGGCTGAAGCCGCAGGGACGCGGGAACACGCCAGCTCAGCGCCAGCCTTGTTGGAACCTACCGGAAGGGATGAAAAACGTGTAGCCCTGTTTCAGCTCAATTCTTTGGCAGCGCTCCACACGGTCTCCCAGGAAGATGTCACTCTGTTTGCCTGACAGCACCCACTCCTCGTACAGCGCCAAGTTGTGCAGGGTTGGAGGAATCAGCCAAAAGATCTTGGGAGGAAAAGGAGGTCGTTAGCTGAGGATCCAGGCCCAGGCTCTGGTTTCTTCCAGGCCCCGCCACTGCACAAGGGGACAGCCCCACCTGCCTGGGAGATGGAAGGTAGGGGACCCATCCCCAGGGGTCCCTCCAGGCCCAGGCCCAAAGGGTCTCTGGGGCAAAGGGAGGGCTGTGCCACCCTTCAGGGGTGTCCCTTACACGCCTTTAGGGAATCCCTGTTCCAAACGCAACACCAGGGTGGGAAGACTTAATGGATTCCGTGGAACATTCTTTCTCCTGAGCCACAGGCTTGTCAGGAAGGTGGGGGAAGGAGAAGAGGAGCAATTTCCGAAGGTGTGCGATAAAACGGCCCAATAAATAAACCCAGTTGATGCTCACTCAGGAGAGGGAGGAAAAACATCTGGAACCAAGCGGGATGACATCCTAGCCAGAATTTCTCCTGACAAGAGACCCAGACAAGCAGGGCGGCACACCCGGATTCTCGGGGAGTGCCTACATCCCTGAGGGATGCCTACGTCCCCACGTGGATGCTCACAGAAGTAAACACAGCAGGAGCACCCCACACACAGGTCCCGCACGGCCGTTCTCTGGGTGACGTGACGTCTGTCCCTGATGTAAAATGTTCTTGGGAGCAGGTGATGCTGGCAACTGGCGTTTCACATCAAAAGATCCCCGCCCTGGAGCTGAGGGGAATGAATGCTGCGGGTTCTGGGGAACCAAAATCTGGAGTTCCAATCTGGCCTAAGGTGCTGAGAGCACCAGCCGGGGTGAACAAGTGTGAATGGGTGACCGCATGTGATACAAAAGGGGTGGGGTGACCTTGGTCTTTCCTGCCAGAAGAAGACAAGAGTAAGGAGGTGGCCCCAGAAGGACCAAGAGGCTCTGAAAGTACTCACAGAGCAGGGACTGGCTGGAGGAGGGGGCAGAAGACAGGGGAAAGGTGAGGAGCGAGCCCTGCCGTGCAGACAGCCGGAGATGTACACAGAGGTGAAGGGGTTCAACTGGACTCACCTTCCCACCCCGGAAAACATGGTACCAAACGGAAGTGCCTCCAAAGTCGATGTGGAAGTCAGTGAAACAACCTTTCACGCTCATCAGACAGTACCTGCAGCGCAGAAACAGGGCAGCAGAGAAAACGAGTCAACGCCTGAATCACAGGAGGTGAGAAAACAACTTGGGAGATGTTTCACCCGCTGCCCTCTTATAAACACTGACACTGGGGAATTTCCTTCTCTTTTCTTTTCTTTTTTTTAAACCCAAACTGAATCGGAGTTCCCCCTGGGGGAAGCCCCTGTAATCAGGTGACCAATCTCAAGCACTGGCCACCCGCTCCCCAAGGCTGGGGGAGGCACTTTTGTTTTCAGGTTCCCACAAGAGAGCTGGCAACCCACAGGTCACTGGAGTCCTCCTCGCAGGTTTCTGCTCTTGCCTCACCCACGCTCCTACCCAAGTAAGAGTCTTCCTTTCTGCTCCTTAGAAACTCCTCTATCCAGAGCGCCCCCCGGCTGCCAGCCCCCTCTGCAGCAGCTGGGCGCCCCGGAATTCAGTTGTAAAACACCTGCATGGCTTGCCAATTACCAGTCCCCATTCATCTCCACATTCATTCAACGATCATTTACTGAGAGCCAACCAGCGCTGCAGCCCAGAGCGAGGCATGGCTCTTAGAGAAATGGGACCCTGCCCTTAAAGATGGGGCACTCTTGGAGCCCTGCACAGGGAAAAGTTAAATGGCAAGACCAACTGCAACGGACTGCGAAGTAAGCAAAGATGCTAAAAGTTCAGGGGGACCAGCCACAGAAGACCACACTGTGTATGCTTCCACGTAGATGAAATGTCCGGAGGAGGCAAATCTACAGAGACAAGAGTAGATCAGTCGTGGCCAGGGGTGGGTGTGACTGCTCAAGGGTACAGGGTTCCATTCGGGGGGTGATAAAAATGTTCCCAAATTGATTGTGCTTGCACAACTCCGTAAACATCACTAAAAACTACTGAATTGTACACTTTAGGTGGATTTTAGAAGCCTGGGCTGGGGGAGTGCCTTCAGGAGCCCCCTTCTGAGCCTTTCCTTACAGGAACTCTCCAGTCTCCTCCCTCCTCCTGGAATATGCCGCCCTCCTACAGGGAGGCAGTGCTTAAGGAGGAGGGAGAATGGAGCAGGCTTCCAACTCTGGACCTGGCAGACGAGGGGTGGCAGGGTCGCCTCCCTCCCATCCACCGCTTCCCCCAAGAGCCACTGGAGGCACGAACAGGGCAGGACCCCCCCACCCCCCACCCGCCCGGGGCTCACGCATTTTGGCACCTCCAGAGGCCCACACACACATGCTTACCCCACTGACCTCTTTTCCCCGGAGCACTTTGCTTTTCCACGGTTTGGGGAAGAGGGGAGGAATGGGGCGGGGATGGGCAGGGAGGAGGAGCCAGCATGGAGCTGAGTGGAGATAATAAAGGGTGGGGCTGGGCTGGTTGAGGAGGCTGTAGGGCTCCCAGGGCCCCCTCCCTCTGGCTGCCTCGTGCACCTCACATTCAGGTGTACGGGGCTCAGGGCTGGCAGTCTGCAGGCAGCGTGCCGCGTCCCTCACCGGGATAGGCTGGAAGGAGCCCGGAGCATGTGTCTGCAGGGAGGCTGACAAATCAGAAGGCCTTCCCGCACATCAGAGCCCTGCTGCCTAGCAACCCCATCGGAGGGTGTAGTGGACAGCACAGGAGGCAGCCCTGTCAGGAAGACAGGCGCTGGGGTTGTTAAAGTCCCAGCTCGGGACTCCAGCTCCACCCCCTGCCCAGCCCCAGCCAGGTCCCCACTCTGAAGGCCTGGGCGATCCGTTCTCTCCCCAAGAAACTGGGGGAGCGGGTGTCTGAAGCCCTGACTCCCCCGCACACACACACCACCCCATGGACCACACTGGCCTCTTTTCTCTCAGCACCACTTCAAAATATTAGTCCTCAAGCTCCTAAAACCACCTCTTCCTCTCTCGTTTTTTTTCTTTTCTTTTTTTAAACTAACCTCGGTTTCCACCCTCTCCAAGCCTCCGCAGAACAGTCTAAGGAAAACAATCTAAGTGTCTGTGTTTGGGGTGGAGCAAGGTACACTTCCTTCCGTCTGCAGCTGGATACCCACCCAGGTGTCCACATGGGAGAGGAAAAGGCAGTAGCTTGGTTCTTGGGCTCCAGGCACCAGGCCTACCTGGCCAAACTGACCACCCCACCCTCCGTCCCGCCTGCAGCCCCCACCTGCCCGGCACGTGGGGAAAACAGCCCGCCTGCGAGCTGCAGCTGCTGTGTGCAGCGAAACTTCTCCAAGTTGAGTTTGCGCCTGGCCTGCCCTCCGAGTCACCCTTCAACATCCTCCGAGGCCCCTGGGAGCTTGGGGACACCACTTCCAGACCCTGCGGTCCTGGAGAGGCCCTTCCTCCCACGTCCCTCATTTCCTGGGCGCCAGGCCCGGACCGCCCCTCCCGCCCCTCCACTGCATGCATTAGGGCGTCCAGGGGAGGATGGCTGTGACAGGGCGGCTTTGTCCGGGCTGTGCCGCCGCCACCCCGCCTCCCTCCCCCCTCCCCGCGCTCATTCCGGGTCC